ATACGTTATACATGAAAAGACACGTATGGTTTTTAAGTTGCAGCAATCAAGAAACTGTACAGCAAGACTGTTCATTTAACGTTGTATTCGCTTACATATTACCAGAAAAAAAAGAAAATTAGAGGATAAAATGTCGATACTGTGAATAGAACAATCGATGTGTAATTAGAAACGCTTCTGTTTCCAATATGATTTTCTGTTCTGATATCACACGTTACATTACAGCAGCTAATTACATGATACATCTAAGAAATATTTATGCATGTAGGTACATAATTACCTTCAAGGCGATAAGCTGCATTATTAAACTTTTGATCTCTTACGAGCGATCGCGTCTTCAACTGCTTTAAGTTGTTTTAATAACTCTTCTCGCCTTGAACTTGCTTTTTTAGCTGCTTTCGCTGCAGCCGCGGCGACGCTTGCTTTGCTATCGATTAAAGGTGGCGATTCTAACGGTCTCTTTTTTCCGGCCATCATACCGGACCGATCAATTTTTTTCACAGCCGTAGCGTTGCTGGTTGGTTTCAATGTGAGTTTGATTTGTTGTTTAGTACCACTCAACTTCAATGCGTCAATACCCTTAGAATCTTTTCGTGTTATCGGTGGCGTTGAACCTTTCCTACGACGTGTCTCACTAGAAGAAGACGAGTAACTTGATTCGCTGGAATCGCTGCTGCTACCGCTGCTCTCTGATCCTGAACTGCTGTGTGAAGACCTAAAACATACATTTATTGAAATATCATACAACACAAGTTAAATGCATTCGTGAAGTAAGTACACGTGACCGTCGATTTATGCAAAAATCCATAAATAGAGTCTACCGATACAAGAGAAAATAAAGTATTCAGAAGAAAAGCTGATATAAGGTTTTAGAAATACGCATTTGTTCCACATAGCCAAACAAAAGAAATAATAATAATAATAACATTTCAGAAAACAAAAGTATAAATTATTCGGCGTTACTAAATTCAGATCACGTATAAAAACTACCGCGTAAATCGAGGGTCAGGTGTGACCACTGAACAATAGAAACAGTGAAAATATTTGACATTATTTTTACCTGGATCTTGATCGACTTTTGATAACCTTTGCCACAGCAGCTGCCGCTATAGCTGCTTTATCTCTTCCCTTCTCGTGGTGACGTTGATGAGATGAAAGGGGGCTTGGCGCAGGAGGGTTTAGCCCGGCACGTCGATGCAACGTACCGGTTGTGGGTGAAATGGAACCTTTTGGTGGACGTGGAGAAGGAGCAGGTGGGTTCATTAACATGGCACCGCGTTGGGGTGCAGCAGCTGCGACTGCTGGAGGATTTGAGGGTGGCGATGACGCGACTGCTTTCCCTTTGCCAGCACCACGGGTTCTAGAGGGAGGGGATGGTGAGCGGGACCTGGATAGGGAGTCGTAAGAACTGTAGCTAGAGCGGCTCGAGCTACGGCTAGAACTAAAAAGAGCATACACGACACTTGTACGCAGTTGTACGAAAAGTGTTTAGAAAGTTTCAGCCAGATATACGTATATCTAAGCGAAACAAATTAAAAAACCCAATTTTACGAAATGCATAATGACTCTAAATAGGTTGCACTGTTATTACAGAAGGAGATCATAAGAAAATTTGAATGTTGTACATTAGGCGCGTATGGTATTTTTACAAATAATTCTAATAAGAATATGGTTCGTTAAAACAGAGGAATATTGCTATCGATAAAGAATATTGAATAATAGTCGAAACGTAAAGATTACCTTGTCGACGAATACGAAGATCCGGAAGAATACGATTGCCTTCGTGAACGCCGAGATGATGTATTCCGCCGCACGGTACTAGGAGACTTCCGCCGCATCCAAGGATCCGCCCATTCATCTCCTCTACCTCTTTCCACTGGCGGTGGTTCTTCTTCTCGCCACGGTTTCGTCGGTGGAATACGTTCTACTATGACTTCCCTTGATGGACGTTTATGTTTTTTCTCATATTTTTCATAATACTCTCGCTCCCTGTCGCGTTCACGTTCCCTTTCTCTTTCGCGTTCTCTTGTGTGAGGTGGTGGAGAAACAGAATGCGGCGTTCCGCGTGGTACCGTATGATAATCGATCCGTTCTCGATATTCAGCAACACGAGTATCTGCTTTATAATGCACTCTCCTATAAAAATTAATAAGTGAATATCGTGTGAAAGAAATCATGAACAGAAATAAAAATGTAGAGACTATTTTACAGTAAAAGAATATTACCTATAATATTCTGGTGGCGGTGCTGCCGGTGGTGCATAGTAAGGATCAGGTTCTTCGATATATCTTTCAGGTGTAATTCTTGGTGGTGGTATTCTTCGAGGTGCCTCTCTAGGTGGCCACCTTTCAACAGGTGGTTCTGGGCTAGCTGCTCTTACATAATAACCTGCTTCTCTGTCTAATTCGTCTTGTCCTAAGCTTAAATTCATTTTCTTTTCTTCGAAGTCCATATCCGATTCTTTGCGTTTGTTTGCTTTGCGCATCATCTACGTGAAAATAAGTAAACGATGATAAAACGATGCTTTCATTTAAAATGTGTTTAAAATGTGAATTTAATATTTAATAATTGTAGGGTAACTAACTTCTTTAGCATGTCTTAATCCACGTTCCCACGCAGATTCGGTAGGAAGCTCTTCTACTTTTGGCGTATGCGATGGTGCACCATAACCAGGTAACGGTCGCACCATATTTGGTCTATCAATATGTGGTCTGAACTCATGTGGAGTGGCTGCATGTGGCGGATATGCCATTGGCCTTACCATATCAAACATGGTATAATTACCTTTATCCGTTACACCTGGATGTAAAAATCTACAACTAACACCCCATGTGCACTGACCGCGATTGTAAAACCGACAAACTGGTCTTGGCTCTGTTTCTTCTGGCCGAGCATCATCACCATCACTAAGTTCGCCTTCCTCCAATTCCGACTCCGCTTTCTCTCCATCTTCCTCCCCTTCTTCTTTGTCATTTCCGTCACATCCTTCCTTTGATTTCATTTTATCTTTATCTTTATCTTTATCCTTGTCTTTTCTATCTCTTTCATCTTTGTTTTCTTTAACATTTAGCCCTTCTGTTTCCCCTAAAAGTAACATTTATTTTTTACTGAAATTTAAATTACATTTATCCTTTTCTAATTTCCTGTCTTTCTTTGACTGTAAATATTTACCTTCATCACGTTCATCCTTCCACTGACCATCCGCTTCGAAGTCCAGTTGTTCACTTTCTTCTGTCAATCCAACCTGTGCATTTTTATCATCTTTCTCCATTTTATCGTCATTATCTCCTCCACGCCTATCATCATTTTGTTTATTTTCCTTAAGTTCGGACTCGTGTTCTGTAGTACCATCAACTCCATCCATACTTTCAAGATCAGAAACGTCCGACAAATCTTCACCGTGTGTAATTGGTGCTGGTTTCGATTTAGCTATAGATTCTGGTTCGTCTTCAATATCTCCATCAGAAATTTGTTCTCCATCTAATTCGTTAAATGAACCACTCTTTGTTGGCGGTGAGTGAGGCGGTGAATGTTTATCTGATTCTTGATCATCCATTATAGAAGCTGGACCTGATTTTGGAGAACTTCTTCCAGATATTAATGATTTTGCCGAACTATGCCCAGATCTTGGGGATTTGGGCGAGCTTTGTCTTGATTCGCTATTTTTATAAGAATACGATTTAGGAGAATTATCACCAGACCTTTGCGCATCAACCTCCAACTCAAACTGTTTGGTTTCTGCATCTTCCAAATGTAAAGATTTTGAGTCATTTGGAGTAGACGGACACGATCTTTCATCTGGTATAGGTGAACAAGACAAACTTCTATCACTTCTAGGTGAATCCAAAGAATTATTTCTCGAACGATACGATTTTGGTGTGTTAAGTGGTGATTTTGATAAACTACGTGTAGATCTTGGAGAACCTTCTTCACTGGGAGATGCTAACCCAGACCTCTGAGACTTTGGCGATATCGGTGTATATCCTGGTGACTTTGAATCTCTTTCAGATATAATAGATGCAGGAGATTTTCCTCTTGAAGAAATAGAACTTGCTCTAGACTTATGACCCGACACAGACGAATGGTGCGAGTAGTTTGGTGAAGCCACATTGTCAGCAGTGACTGGATTTCTCCTTCCATCATAACCCTCTGAGGAAGAACTTTCTGAACCAGAGTCTGACATGATGAATTATTCTAGCCTGTAAACAAGTAATTTTTTTACAATAGTTATAATAAAATTTAATGTAAAACTGGGACCACTGTTCAAACAAATTGTTAATTCCTCTTACTTGAGAAGTGAATTTTTAGCCGTACCGACCGAATGTAGCACTGTAAAATCTGCATCAATAGCAGCGCATGGCTTACCTGTATCAATAAGAGCCTGTGCAGTACTCGCTCTTGAAGGCACAACGCGCGCGATCCATACCGTGTCGAACATACTTTTTATAACACGTCGAGAACTTTTTTTACTAGCAACTTTTATACTTTATACATAAACTGAACTTTTTTCACATATACAATACATACTGTTATTTTTCATGGATTTCTTGCCCGGAACTTTTTTGTTTACGTTTTAAACTTTTTAACTCGAGCACAACACAAACTAAGAAATACCGGTAAACCGCAAACCGTTTTGTACTGCACTAGAAACTATAGCGAACGGACTTTCAACCTGTAAGAACATCTTTTGGGCATATGGAACGATAAAGAAAAAGGAAGAGAGGAAAAATTTGGGAAATGATAAATGAAAGTATTGTTTTCACTAACAAATGCAAATAAAACTATGTAACACTAGTATCAATTAGCATATTTTCATAAGGAAT